GGGGAGGGGTCCCCTCCCTGCCTGAGATGGATGAGCCCATCTCTCCCTGGGGCCTAGGGCTGAGATGGGCACCTTCTCCATGGCCTCTTCATCCACCACCTCAAAGGTGCCCGCCTCGGTGAGTCGGTAGGTTGCTGGGGTGTACAGCTCTGATGCCAGAGGAAAAGGGGGAGCTCAGCAGAGAGTGCTTCCGGCCCCTCACACCTCCTCCCAGCCTCTCCTGCTGCCTGCCCAGCCCCAGGGACACAGTCAGGGAAGGCCTAGCTACCCTTGCTCTGGTTTGGGGCCCATGCGTCCAGCTGGCCCCGTCCCTACCATAGGGGATGAAGGGTCGGTCGCTGGGCGGGTGTAACAGGAAACGTTTCTCTCCGGAGAGGACACAGTAGAGGTTCTCGTAGTGGTCCTTGTGCACTGCCAACACAAAGACGGTCCCGGGCATAGTCGGCGGGGCAGGGCACAGGAGGGGCAGAACCTGCCCACTGGAGCCTTGCGCCTCAAGACAGCCGGGGTGTAAAAAGGAGCAAGTCCTGCAAATAAAGATTTCAACCTTCCATCCAAAGCGTCCCCTGATGTCTCCTTTACACCCAACACTAGTTCAACTTAGCTAGTAAAGGATGTCTATGCCTCTGCTGTGAGCATCGTGCTCTTCGAGCTCCATCCAGGATCAGACTGAAAACAGCCTCTTCAGAGAACAGCCAGGATCCGGAAGGACGATGAATTTATACGGGGAGTGGGGAGTGGCTTCAAAAGGTTCGTAGAAACATCCCATTGCCTTTGAATCCCATTGTTTTTCTACACAGTTTCTGAAGCCCCTCGGTTCCCTCAGGGAGAAGAACTCGGGAAGGGAGGGTGAGAACGTTTGAACCAACCCGAGGGACTGAATCAATGTCACTGAGCTGTCAGCGTAGAAGCTCGGTGTATGTTTCTGCTCTGTGTATTCTCAACAACATAGTCAAACCAGACTCCAGGAGATGCCCAGGGGGGCTGGGGTGGGGCTCCAGATCCCAGCCACCAGGGACTTGGCACTCACCAGAACCCCCATGCGGCTCATCTCTACCAAAGAGGTGAATAGCCACACATAGGGTTCTCCCAAGTTCACTTCCAGGCCCAACGTACCCTCTGAGAGATGTCTAGTATGCCCCACACCAAAGCCATCCCACCCGCCATGCTGCCACGCCACTCCTCCATTCACAGAATTGTAGAACGATCCTCCAGGCCAGCCTCCCACCCTTGGCCCCATCCTGAGTCCTCCCTGTCCCTGTGTCCAGGAGACACCTACAGGACGTCACTGCGGCCGCCTCCCCTAGCCAGAAGTTCACTGCATCAGGCATCTTCCCTGCAGGCCAGAGGAAGAGAGTTAGAGAGAGTGTCCCCTGCAGCCGGGCCCTGGGATAAACCAGACTGGGATGCGGGCGGGGAAGCTGCGCAGGAGAGAGGGGCATCCCAGGGAAGAGAGTGGCCAAGAGGCTGTGGTTTGGAGGGCTTAGGGAGTGGGTCCACCGCCCCCCACAGGCAAAAGGAAGAGCACTAATCCTCTGCAGTCGGTCAACGGTCAAGGCTTCCAGGGTGGCAGCGCCTGATGCTGGCCGTGGGGTGGTGGGTGTGGACCAGGCCAGACTGCCCCCTGCCCCTGTCACCCCCTCTCACCCAGAGCCTCGGAGGCCCAGGGCACATGGGGCTCCAGGTCGGGCAGCAGCTGGGGCAGCTCCGTAAGCAGGTTGGAGCACTGCTTCTGCACGTAGAGCACGCCGGGGTGCCAGGCCCTGCCCTCTAGCACGTCCAGCACATCGCGAAGGGGCAGCAGGCGCTCAGCTGGCCTCACGAAGCGATCTTCGCGCACGGCATCGGCGTAGCCATCTGGGGTCACGGCCACGCTCACCTCCGTGGCGCCCACTGTGGCCCTAGGGGAAGGGGCTCTCAGAGCATGCCCACATGCCACAGGCAGGGCGACCGTCACCCTAGTCCAGCCCAGCCAGGGACTGCACCCACCTCAGATAGGGGAGGGACCACTTCTGCAGGGCGGGCCAGTGCCGCAGGGCATTGCGCACAATGCAGGGCCTACTGGGGCAGACCCAGTCCCGGTAGAAGTGCAGCGGCGTTGGGGCCTCATCCAGGTAGGGCACGGTTGGAGGCACGCCAAGCTCTGCAGTGGGGTGGGAGGTGGATGTTGAAATAAACAGCACCCAGCCCCTGCCTGCCACTAACGGATGAGATGCCCTTTCTAGGCAGGCCACAGGGTATCACTGGGCAGTGCTCACTGGGGAGGGACCAAGAGACCCTGGACCACCAGAAATGGAAGGGGACTTTCAAGGAGGAGACTGCAGCACACCTACACCAGGAGGGGCCACCAGGCCCATGAGCAGGTGAGTAACAATCTGGTGTCAGCTGGTGGAGGGGTGGAGTCTAAGCTGTCATTCAGGTTGCAGTTTGCGCCATGGAGATCAATAGCTCGCTTTAGGCTAGATATACACCCCCTTCCTGTGAGACAAAACACATGGAGCTACACTAGAGCCCTGGAGCCGTAGGGGCCACTTGGAGACCCCTGCCAGTTGGGATGGGATGTTTCCACCGCCACTGGGTCCACAAGACTTTCCACCCACTGGCCTGTGATCATTGCATGTGTTTCTTGAGTCGCAAAAGGGATTTATAGATTGATATCAGACATATGGGCTAATATCAGACTTAAGGACTTGATCTGGACTGGGCTGTGATGTTTTCTTAATGTACAATTGCTCTTTGACATACAGCTCTCTCTTAAAACACATATAAGTGTCTATGAATTTGTTTCTCAGGTCAACCGGGCTAACACAGCAGGGCTCCTGCTTGGCCCAAACCCTAGTCCTCCATGGGGCCAGACCCTTAGCTTCCCTAGCTGCGGTGGCCAACCTCCAGTGACATGTAGAAAAGCAGCTTCAGGTGCCACGCAGGGAGCTCCAAGTGGCTGGGGCAGCAAGCTGAGGAACGCCCTCCAACCGCAAATATTCACTCAATATTTTGGGATGTGCTCAGCACTTGGCTTCGCCAGTGTGAATGGGTCATTTCAAGAGGCTGACAGCCTAATTGGGGAGACATATCTGACTATCACATGAACCCCCTGGGTCTTCCACAATGGTACTGTGCTGTGTGCCACCTGGGTGGCTGTCTCTCTCTAGCTGCCCTGCATCGCACCCTTCATAAACATCACTGACTCTCTGTTGTGCTCCTGGCCAGCTCCCCGTCTCACCGAGTCTACCTACAAACAACCCCCAACCTCCCTCACCCTCACCTTCTCCCTCTGCACGCATGCCACCTCCTTTGGGGCCCCTCCACTCACAAGTCACCCCAAGAGCCTTCATTCCCCCGGCTGGCTGTCCTTCTTCTTCAGGAACCTGTGAACCACACCAACCACCGCCCACCCCCTCCTGTGCCCGAGCCCACAACCATTTCTAGTAAACAAACAACAGTGGCCCTCCAGTCGATTCTGGCTCACCTTTCCTCCACAGGGATTTTGTGGCCCTGACTTTTCTGAAAAGGATCACATTTCTTTGGGGGTCCTTTAGAAGTAGGCAAAGCACCCCGACCTTCCCATTTGCTTAACCATGGACAGCCCCCAGGGGCTCTGAAAAAACCCTCAATCCCTTCCTGCGTTCATATCCTCCTGAGCACCGGCACCGTCAAACACACTATCTAAGGGGCCCTGGTGTTGGCACGGTGGTTAAGCACATGTCTGCTAACCAGGAGGGGGGTGATCTGAGCCCACCAACTGCCCGTCGGAGAGAGATGTAGCGGCCTGTCTGTTTCCTCGGACACAATACGCGGCAGTTCCACCACTCCACAGCGACAGGTTTGCAAACAGGTTAACATACAATCTACTCGATTAATTTCCATTGGATAGCTGTCTGGGTCCCCCGCTAGAATGTGATCTCCATGAGGGCGGGGGTGTGGGTCACACCTCCCCAGGAGGGAGCACAGTGCCCAGCATGCCCAAGATCCCCAGTACACACTGGCTTAATGAATGGATGAAAGACTTCCAACATCTCCTGCCATAGTGAACCAACTGGTTCCCCTGGCTTAACTCCCCTCCTTCCAAAAGCATTTAGCGCCCCAGCTCCAGACATCTTCCTGAAAGGTAACCTCATGTTGTCACTCTTAGCAAACCTCCTTTGATGACTTACCACTTGGAGAATAAAGTCTGCCTGGCCTATGTGTAATCGGGCCCAACCCACTATTCTCGTCTGATTAGCTTCTGCCTGGAGCCGGCCCCTTACCACACACCCTCCCTGCAGCTCCCTCAGTTCTCCGACGTGGCTTTCACTTGGGTAGAGTGGAAGGTCCACCCTGTGCTTCAAGGCCACTGCCCTCCCCTCCACCACAAGGTCGCACGCCTCCAGTGAAGCCATCCGATTAGTCTCACAGTCAGTGGGAAAGTGGGGATGTCTTTAGCTAGATCGGAAATTGGAGCTGAGCAGGAAGGTCCCAGGGAAGCTGGGAAGGTGGGACGGGAAGAGCTGATTGGTACCTGAAAGTCACTGGCAAGAGGCAAGAAGGATCCTGCCAAGTAGATACAGGAACCCGGAGGGATGACACGTGGCCAAGCAGTGGCAGCCAGCCCACTGCAGCAGGCACCTCAGAAGAAGACCTCGGGCTCAGTAAGCCCCTGCGATTCTCACAGAAATTCTTAACAGAGGTGGAAACTGCTATTTTTAGCCCCTTTATATTTTCTGTTCTGCTTCCATTTTGATTGTCTTGCATTTGAATAGATTTCTTTTTGGGTAGGGCCACTCTTCTATCCCAGGGCTTCGAAACAAGAGAATTTCAAAAGAGAGCTAGATAATTCCTTTGACCCCGTAATTCCTTTGCTAGGAATTTAACCAACTAAAATACTCATGGGCACCAACCTCCCTCCCACTCAGGGCGTTCGCCTTCCCTGAACTGTCCTCCCATGTGTCTGCACACTTCCTCCCTCCCCGCCCTTGAGTCTGTGTCCAAATGCCACCTCCTCATTGAGGCCCGCTCTACTAACCCTATTTAACCTCCATCCCGGAGCCCCTCAGTCGGCTTAACTGATTTTCCCACATTTATCTTCTAACCTACTGTCTCCTCATTTAGTGTGCTTAGGGCTAACTGTAAGGAGCCCCAGTAGCTGCTAAGAGCAAGGTCAGTGGTTCAAACCCACCAGCCACTGCTCAGGAGAAAATGGAGGCTGTCGGCTCCCTTAAAGAATTTCAGTCTCAAGTTTTGCCCGACCTCATCATCTCCCATTTTTTGTGCAAATACTGTCCAGTCAGATAAGGATTTATTCTGTACAATTAATCCATGGAATAATCCATGTATTGTGCAATCTCCCTTTCTTTCTCAATCGGGTTTTTAAATTATTACCATGGGCTAATCAGTGATACTATAAACAGAAAGTCTTTATGTCTCCAAGGAGATGATTGATCGTTAAGATTCTCTACCATAAAATAAAGCAGACAGAAAACATAGATTCAGGAATGAATTTGGGGCTGCCACTTAATCCTAGCTCCAATCTAAGAACAATTAGTTTGTACAACATGGTCCTGCTTGACACTGGATCTTAGGAAGGAAACACAGAAGATGTGAGTGCTATAGCAAAGTGTGGTGAAGATATTAGATGGTGCCCAGCTACCAGACAGAATAGCATCTGGAATTTTAAAGGCTTGCTTTCAATCAAACAAGCAGCCATCGAAGTGAGACATCAACTAAGTCCACATGGAAGAAGCACACCAACATCCATGATCCAAGGATTGTAAATTATATAATCCAAATCTGAAGGAGGGAGCTGAAATTGTGAGATTCTGATTTACAGAAGGCTATGGATGACAGTGGAAATCCAAAATACATTTGCAGGATCTACACAAAAAATAAGCCTCGGTGATTTCCCTCTGACCATAATAGAGGGAACAGGAATAATTTGGTGGTCAGACAGAGTGTTGCGGAGACAACTATAATAGATTAAAATGGCAAATCTGGCTCAAATGGTTAAAATCTTGTCAACTGATCTCCCTTTTCATAGACTTTATGCACTTGATCTGTTTTAAATATTTGCTGTATTTTTTTAAAATCATATCAGGGCTTATCTCTGTTGTATTTTGTCACTCACTGTTGGTAGCTTTCTTGACTCTGTGATATGTTTTCCTGTTTTTCAGTACATGAAACCCAGGATGAATGAATCTACTGAGGGCTCCTGAAGGGTGGTGGCAGAGGTGGGGAGAGCTGATATCAAAGCATGCAAGAAAGTAGACAATGTGCACAAGCGGGCTGTGGTGCTCACTCTGCAACGCTGCTTGATGTGATTGCACTGTGGAATGGTTTGATGTCTCGCTTAGCTCCTGATGAAATCATTACGCTTCTCTAGTGGGAAATACCTCAGTTCTTAACTTTGCAAGAGAAAGAATTCACGCCGAAGCCTGGTTTGTGATCCAAGTGGGTTTTTATAAAGGACAGAAGTTGTTTCAGGTTTTAGAAGCACTGAGCACGGGCAACCTCGTGGGACTACACACCTACACGTGGTAGTCTGAGGCCAGAGACCACGACATGGGGGGGGGGCTTGGAGGGAGGAGACGAAGGCGAAGGTCTCACGGTCATGGTTATTTGAGGTCTATGGCTGGGAGGCGTGATTGAAGGTATTGGTTGGCCCCCATTGTCTGAATTAAGCCCACCTGGGCCTAGTTTAGGTCGCCCAGGTGTACCACCCACCTGGCTCAGGCTTGAATTGGCACATGCCCAGTTAGTCTTTATGGCTGGTTAAGGACTCGCCTGATTCTCCTCCAACCTCCTCTCCTTCAGGCACGGAGAGGAACAACCCCGTGTCCCTGTTTCACGCTACCTAACAAAATTATTTGGGAGGGGAAAAAACCTCCAGCTTCGGAAACTCTGTATAGGTTTGGTTTGGGCTTGGTTTCTGGTTAACATAGGGTCCCTGGAGGGGCCCTGCTGGCACAGTGGTTACGCATTGGGCTGTTAACTGCAAGTCCAGGAGTTTGAAACCACCGGGGCCTCCTCAGGAGAAGGACGAGGCTTTCCACTCCCATAAAGAGTTTGTCTCAGAACCTGGATGGGGCAGTTTAGTCTGCTCTGTAGGGGTGCTAGGAGTTGACATCAACTCGGTGGCAGTGAGTTTTGTCTTGTTTGGGGTAAGGTTAA